TTGAGGGATTCCACATGCAATTGGACACCAATTCTCCAGAACAGAGCACCACGGAATAGTGAATTTACCTTTCAGGTATCCCATGTAACATTGAAGGCATCCTTTTCCTTTGGAAGCTGCTAACTTCACTGCCTCTTTTGGGTCAATCTTTGCCTCCACCCGGACTTGACTTTGACCAGCTGAGGAAGCCACACTCCCCACCACACCCAGCCAAACAGCATCAGATGCTTTGAGCTGTGGAAAGAAAGGCAAAACATTTTCAGAAACTGGTTTTCAGAAGCGTTACCACCTCTACCTTTGGGGCAGAACATAACCATTGTGACTAGTAGCCATCAATAAGTTTCTCCTCCATAAATTTGCCCATTTGTCTTCTAAAGACATCCCACTTGGCGGCCATCCCTGTGGGAGTGAGTTCCATAGTTTAACAATTTGCTGCGTGAAGGATGACTTCGTTTTCTCTGTCCTGAATCTTCCAGCATTCACCTTCTTTGGAAATCCATGAGTTCTAGCATCATGAGTGAGGGAGGCATTTTTTTGTATCCTCTACCCACATTCCCCAGGTCACACATAATTTTATACTATTCTGTTGTGTCACCTGTTCCTCTCCTTTTCTATAAACAAAAGAGTCCCAAATGCCACAACCCAAAGCCAGTGAGGTGTAGTGGTTAAGAGCAGTGGACTCGTAATCTGGTGAACTGGGTTCGATTCCCCGCTCCTCCACATGCAGCTGCTGGGTGACCTTGGGCTAGTCACACTTCTTTGAAGTCTCTCAGCCCCACTCACCTCACAGAGTGTTTGTTGTGGGGGAGGAAGGGAAAGGAGAATGTTAGCTGCTTTGTGACTCCTTTGGGTAGTGATAAAGCGGGATATCAAATCCAAACTCTTCTTCTTCTTCCCTCATACTGAATGGTGATTTGGAATAGCATGGCGAGAAGGCACTAGGCCCTAATTGAATTCTGCTGACACCCACCCAGGGCCGTCTTTAGCAGATGCGGCGCCAGGGTGCAAATATCCACCTAGCGCCCCCAAATTACAATGGATAGCGGGGGGGGAGAGCTGTGCACTGCCGGCCATGGGGGGGGGTGCAACTCTCCCCCATGCCGCTGCAGGACAGCAATCCCCCACAGAGGCTTGGGAGGGAAGTTGTGTGCCTGCCAGCCATATAGTTGGCGGGGCACAGCTGGTAGGCGTGCCGGGAAAGGGGAGGCCGCCGGCTCCTCCACTCGCTGGGGAGCCCCTGAGAGGCCGGCGCCCAGGCGCAACGCACCACTAAGCCCTATGGGAAAGACGGCTCTGCGCCCACCCAGCTACTAGTAATTTTAAAGCTCCCCCCGCCAGCCCACTCTTCAAATTATCTATATGCACCTGAATACCTTTACCACCAGGTGGCAGTGCATGCTCGTTTGCAATAAAGGTGGCAGATGAAGGTATTTTTTTGAACTCAAATAGTTATGGCGGATGCAGGATTGTCGGGGAAAATTGCATGTCACGTAGCAGGGGTGTGCAAGAAAGCCCAGGTAGTCCTTTCTCTTGCAGCAGTTCTGCTGGGAGGGGGGAAATTGCATTAAAGGAAGGGCAGGGAAATGAGAGAGTGCTTAACCCTTCGCCTGCCATTGGAACTTAAGTGCCTGCTGCATCAGACCGAAGGGATATTCAGTCCAAAGCAGGGTCGGCTTTAGGTTTGATGAGGCCCTAAGCTACTGAAGGTAAAAGGGCCTTTATATGTCCAGCTGTCCTTTGTTTTGTGTTGAATATATGCCATATGGTAATTTATGGAACTAATAGGTATCTAAAGCCATTTGCATATAACAAAATATGTATTTTATCAAAGTAATTGTTGAACTAAAATACAATTAAGAAGAAGTAAATTAATAGTGAAATACAATCAAGAAGAAGTATATTAATAACGATATATTTTAGGGAGCAGGCTAGTAGGTGGGGCCCGTTACTTACATCATAGGAGCCCACACAAGACAAAACACTGTTGCTGTATGTAGGTTTTATTTTATTTGTTTTTCATCCTATATTTTGGAAATGTACATCCAGTTGTTTTTTGGTTCCCCCCCAAAAGAGTGGGGCCCTAAGCTATAGCTTGTTTAGTTTATATATAAATCCGGCACTGGTTCTGAGTCCTGTTTCCCACCGTGGTGAAAAGTACAACTCTCAGGAAGACCACAAGCAGGAGGTGAGCACTACCTCCTTGTGACCTAAGACCACCTAGGGCTTAATTCTCAATAAAGAAAAGCATTATTTATCCATTTAATATATTACTATTCCTCCTTTCTCTGAAGCTGGGATTCAAGGCGGCTTGAAACATTAAGAAGCATCCATGATAAAATACAGAATAATAAGAACAAATTAGTTAAGAACAATAATTAAAATACATTGCAGTATATTTAATGCCTACAAGGGTTGCCAAAAATGAAAATCCGGACAAAGTTGAAATTTGCCTTGCTTCAATTGAGCTTTTTGTTTTGGTCAAAGTTGCTAAGCTTTTTGTTTGTTTTTTATGGGGGTGTGTGTTGAAGTTGTTGAGCTTGAGTTGGGAGATGTTCCCCAAAAAGGGAACCTGATTCCTAGATGTGTAAAATACAATTTGCCCTGACAGGAGTCCAATGATTGGCATGGTCTGTGCCTTAGTTTCTGAAGGCTTGCCTAAACAGGAAATAGCAGGAGATAGCAAAGAGGGAGCCAGTCTAACGTCTCTTGGGAGAGAATTCCACAGTATGGGAGCTGCCACAGAAAAGGCTTCCTTTGGTGTCGCCACCAACCTTGGCTCTGATGTCAACAGGCCTGAGAGAAGTTGCTCCCATGAGGGTCTTAGCACCCAGGCAGGTTTGTATAAGGAGATATGATATCTCAGGTAGCCTGGGCCCAAGTCACATATTGTACAACTCACTGAAAACTCTGTCGAATAGTTCCTCTCTTCGGCTGTGCTACGATTTCTTAAGGTGGCTGTGATGGACCCCTCGCTGCCAGCAAGGCTGAGTTTGCCTTCTGATCGCCAGAGAAAACCTCCCTTGTTTAGCTGGTGCTTCCCAGAGACTGCAATTGCCTAGGAAAACAGAGTGGGTGGAATTACCAGAGACAGAGTAAAGTAAAGGTGGTGGTGGAGAATAGACATGTGTCACAGTGGGTAGGAATGATACCTCTTTGACACTGCTTCCAAGTCTTGACAGGCAGGGTGCCCCCAAAGAGGAAATGCACCCCGCAAAAGGTTTGCATAAAAATTGCATATGGTAATTGTTATGTATAGATGCCAGTTTCCAAATAATGACTATAGCTGGAATGGAACACGAGAAAAGCCCTGTTGGATCAGGCCAAAGACCCATCCAGTCCAGCATCCTGTTCTCACAGGGGCCAACTAGAGGCCTGTCATAAGAATTTTAAGGTCTCAGATATGGAATAAACATTCATAAATACACACATATCTAAATATATGAACCATGTGTCTGAAATAGTATGGGAGAGCAATCCTGTAGCCATTTTGACTCTTCCAACGACCTCAAATATTCCTCTGCAGTAAGGGAGGCAAATGGAAAAAGCCTTCCCATTGCCATTTTGCTTGCAAATCCTGTCTTAAGGGCGTATTTGAGTATGAATACAGTGAGCCTGTAACCTGGACTCAGGAACTAAAGTATTAACGATCATAAAAGAATGGCCAGACTGTCCAGGTAATGCAATCAGTGACCATTATTAGGTATCCTGGCAGGCAGGATTTCTGCTGTAGTATGTATGCCTCCTTCTGTGATGTATGTATGATGTTTTTTGGGGGAGTCTTGGGCTACAGGGTGGGCAATTTCAAAAGTCTATATAAGGGCTTGCGCACCATTGTTCAGGGTTCTCCTCTCTCCTGCATGTGGTGAGTGGGCACTCTGTTGCAACAGTTCCTTTAATAAAGATCAGGCTTACTAGTCACTTTGCTTCTCAATACAGTGGTACCTCGGGTTAAGTACTTAATTCGTTCTGGAGGTCCGTTCTTCACCTGAAACTGTTCTTAACCTGAAGCACCACTTTAGCTAATGGGGCCTCCTGCTGCCGCTGCACCACTGGAGCACGATTTCTGTTCTCATCCTGAAGCAAAGTTCTTAACCCGAGGTACTATTTCTGGGTTAGCAGAGTCTGCAATCTGAAGCGTCTGTAACCTGAAGCCTATGTAACCTGAGGTACCGCTGTATACCGTATTTTTTCGCTCTATAAGACACACTTTTCCCCTCCTAAAAAGTAGGGGGAAATGTGTGTGCATCTTATGGAGCGAACGTAGGCTGCACAGCTTTCGCTGAAGCCAGGAGAGCAAGAAGGATCGATCCCTCTTGCTCTCCTGGCTTCGCTTCGCTGGAGAGCCGCTCCACCGGTTTCCCTCTCTGCGCAGCGCCCCTTCAGCGAAGCGGCAGGAGAAATGGAAGAGGCTCCGTTTCTCCTGCTGCTTCGCTGAAGGGGCGCTGCACAGAGAGGGAAAGCTGAAGGGGTGCTGCGCAGAGAGGGAAAGCTGCGCAGCGCCCCTTCAGAGAAGCAGGAGGAGAAACAGAGCCCCTTCCGTTTCTCCTCCTGCTTTGCTGGAGAGGCGCTGAGCAGAGAGGGAGAGAACTTTTTTTTCTTGTTCTCCTCCTCTAAAACTAGGGTCGGGTGCATCTTATAGAGCGAAAAATACGGTACTCTGGCTGGCCTCTGTTTTCTCCTACTGATAGGGAACCCACTTAAGGACTCTACGGGCTCTGGAATACCCCATAAGCAAAAGGGGGCAGTTTTTCTTATAACAGGCCTATAGGGAGCTGGCAAAAGGACTTCTGTGCAGTCGTACTTTCTCCCTGCTTGCGTTTGCCAGGAACTGGTAGTTAGAGGGACACTCACTGCCTCCATAAGGGAACACAGAGACACAATGATTCCCATGCAGTGGGAAAGACAGAGACCTGGTGAGGTGTGTGGCTGCTTGCTCAGCCAGCTGCTGACCCAGTGTACATGTTTGATGGGCAACTTCAAGACCCTTCTGCCCTCCCTTCTTAGGGAGATAGCTCAGTTGGTAGAGCATGAGGCTTTGAATCTCAAGGCCCTGGGTTTGAACCCCATGCTGTGCAAAAGATTCCCGCCCTGCGGAGGGTTGGCCTAGATGACCCTCGTGGGTCCCTTCCAATGATTCTGGGATTCTTTATCTTTTAAGCCGGACTCGGACCTGACTGCCCCTCTAATAACATAGGATGCTTTCAGATTGATAGAGGGTTGTTCTCTGCAAAGCAGAGGCATGAACATGTCACTGAAGTCCTATGCATGTTTGTTCAGAAGGAAGCCCCGTTCATTTCAGTGGGGCTTCGTTCTGAGTAGGCAGGCATAGGATTACCCTGTTTGTATTTGAGAGCAACGGCAACGCATCACTTACCTCCGGGAGATCGCAGGTTCTGAGGCTCGCAAAATGACGAAGCCAAGCTGAGTAGTCTGTTTCAATTTCCCCCAAGATATGCTGACTGGAACATGGAGTCGAAAAGATGTTTTCCAAAATGGCTTCCACCTGAATTTTATCCAGGTGCAATGACTTGCTTTTCTGCATTTTTTTAAAAAGGGAAAATAGAACAGGAGCTCAAAACGTGCCCGCATTTCTGATGTCTGCAGTCACTGATGAGTACGACTCGCAAGTTGTTTAATAATGGCTCCTAAGGGTGCTCCCAGACTGTCACTGTTTTGGGGTGAGATTCAGTCACATACCAGCCAATTCAGGCAGATCTGCACCACACATAATATAATAATAATTAATAATAATTTATTATTTATACCCCGCCCATCTGGCTGAGTTTCCCCAGCCACTCTGGGCGGCTCCCAACCGAGTGTTAAAAACAATACAGCATTAAATATTAAAAACTTCCCAAAGAATCCTGGGAGCTGTAGTTTGTTGAGGGTGCTGAGAATTGTAGCTCTGTGAGGGGGAAGCTCCAGCTCCCAGGATTATATGGCGGACGCCATGGGCACAAGCCTACAGATCTTATGGAAAACATTCAGCACCATCAGCAACAAGAATAAATATAAATAAATAGCTAGCAGAACAGGCTCAAGGGCCATGAAATATGTCAAAAAGCAAATCCTGCCCTACCCCAGCCTTGCTCATGAAAGCAATTTTCTCCAAATGATGTAACAACAACAACAACAACAATTTATTTATACCCCACCCATCTGGGCAGCTCCCAACAAAATATTAAAAACACAATAAAACATCAAACATTAAAAACTTCCCTAAACAGAGTTGCCTTCAGATGTCTTCTAAAAATCAGATAGTTGTTTATTTCCTTGACATCTGATGGGAGGGCGTTCCACAGGGCAGGCGCCACTACCAAGAAGGCCCTCTGCCTGGTTCCCTGTAACCTCACTTCTTGCAGTGAGGGAACGGCCAGAAGGCCCTCGGAGCTGAACCTCAGTGTCTGGGCTGAACGATGAGGGTGGAGACGCTCCTTCAGATATACTGGGCCGAGGCCGTTTAGGACTTTAAAGCTTTGAATTGTGCTCAGGAATGTACTGGGAGTCAATGTAGGTCTTTCAGGACCGGTGTTATATGGTTTCGGCGGCCACTCCCAGTCAGCAGTCTAGCTGCTGCATTCTGGATTAATTGTAGTTTCCTAGTCACCTTCAAAGGTAGTCCCACGTAGAGCGCATTGCAGTAATCCAAGAGGGAGATAACTAGAGCATGCACCACTCTGGCAAGACAGTCTACGGCAGGGAGGGTCTCAGCCTGCGTACCAGAAGGAGCGGGCACACAGCTGCCCTGGACACAGAATTGACCTGCACCTCCATGGACAGCTGTGAGTCCAAAATGATTCTCAGGCTGTGCACCTGGTCCTTCAGGGGCACAGTTACCCCATTCAGGACCAGGGAGTCCTCCACACCTGCCCGCCTCCTGTCCCCCCAAAACCAGTACTCAGTTTCATGCAACAGAATAATGAAGATTCCACCTCGTATGTCAGATTCTGCACAATTTTTCTGCCATCCCACTTCAGGTCCAAGTGCTGACTCAACAAGGCCGCTGTCTGCTCGAGGGACCCGCAGGCCTGGAGACTTGCAAGGCTTAGAACATTCTGAAGCTGCAGAAATTATGAATGAGAAACATTGGTTATTACTTTGGAGAAGATGTGTGGTTCAGGGGCAGGGCATCTGTTTGCCTGCAGAAGATCCCAGGTTCAATCCCCGGCCCCTGCAGGTGGCACTGAGAGATACGTCCCTGAAACTCTGGAGAGCTGCTGCCAGTCAGTGCAGACAACATTGAGTTAGATGAACCAATGGTGAACTGAGGTATAAGGCAGCTTCCAATGCTCTATGTTATGTACTGAAGTTCTCACCCTAGGTCAGCAGGGGGGTACTGTAGATAGTTATGCAAATAAGGGATCGAAAGTGACGTTCAGTGATTGGATAGTTTTAGAAAGTTGTTACAGTAACGTTGTACTGGAGCTCTATATAAGCAGGCTGACTGAACCCTTCAGTTCAGTTCTGTTCTGGCCTGTGAATAAACAAGAGCTGTTTGAAGAATCGCTGTGTCGCCTGATATGTTCACCCACAACTTAACACTCTATGTTCACTTTGGGTGGCATAGCTGCAATGATGCAATGCAGTCTTTTATATAGCAAAAAATAAAAATAAAAATGCACATACTGCTTTCTAGAACAAAGGACCTCTAAGCGGTTTCTCACAGACGACCTAAAATATTAATTGAAAATGCCAATAAAAACATTTGTACCTGGCTAGAGGAAGCTGTGATACAAGCATCCCAAAGAGTGGTGTTGGTCTGGGACTTGTCTCCGAATGTAAATTTCAAGTGGGCGGGTTGCCCATCGTCCCAAGCCAGCCACACCTAAAGTCAGAAAAAGAAATGCTGAATTAAGTTTCAGACAGAGCAGCATGGCAAGAGCAATATTCACTTGAAAGGGGGGAAAGCACACCCTAGGGTTAGGAGCCCCTAAGGGACAAAGTAATTAGCATTTAGAGCAGGGGCCAGCAACCTTTTTCAGCCGTGGGTCGGTCCACCGTCCCTCAGACCATGTGGTGGGCTGGACTATATTTTTTTTGGGGGGGGGGCGAATGAATGAATTCCTATGCTCCACAAATAACCCAGAGATGCATTTTAAATAAAAGGACACATTCTACTCATGTAAAAACATGCTGATTCCCAGACCATCCATTGCCTACCCCTGATTTAGAGAAATGGATGTAAGCTACTTTGCTCTCCTGGAAAACAGCAGGATAGAAAGACAGGCTGTGTTCATATGATCATACCCAGGTATGAACAAGCTTCTTTTCCTTGCAAATACCGTATTTTTCGCTCTATAATGCACCAGACCATAAGACACATCTAGTTTTTGGAGGAGGAAAACAAGAAAAAAATATTCTGAATCACAGAAGCCAGAACAACAAGAGGGATTGCTGCACAGCAAAAGCAGCGATCCCTCTTGCTGTTCTGGCTTCTGGGATAGCTGTGCAGCCTGCATTCGCTCCATAAGGCGCACACACATTTCCCCTTACTTTTTAGGAGAGAAAAAGTGAGTCTTATAGAGCAAAAAATATGGTAACTTCTCTTTGCACAAGTGGGGAAAACAAGCCAGGAAGCCATAACTAACTATACCTTTCCATTACGTGGGAAACTATGGTTAGCAGCTTCCAAACAAGCCCAGGATATGGAAACCATGGTTTAAAGTTAAGTGTAATGCATGTGCCAGCCCTTGTCGCAGGGATGGGAACCTGTGAAACCTGTCTATCCAAGCCAGCATGGCTGATAGTCAGGAATTATGGGAGTTGTGATTCAGCAAGATTCAGAGGGCCACATGTTCCCCATCCCCGCTTTACACAACCCAGTTCAATTGGGGGGGGGGATTCCATACATTATCAGGCGCACACAGCTGCGTTCTGATATCCAGTTTCCAGAACAGGACTTATTTTCGGATAGTTATCTATAGGATTGCACCGTTAATTGCTTTGTGTGATCCATCCGGTCAATTTACCTGCTGGTTGTAGGCACCTCTTCTGCTTTTGGTGAGAGATCTAACCTCCATGTGATTGATGGTGAAGTTAAAAGGGTGAGCCACAGCAGCGTAGTAATAGACACGCTCTTTTCCAAATTTGAGAGAAGAAGATACAGAGACCTGTTGCTGTAATCAAAAACAGAGGTTAAACAAGTGGTGGCAATAGCAATCTCTCCTATTATTGTTGTTATATTTAATTATATTGTTTATTGTTTATTATTTGTTATATTATTAAAAATAATAGTATACCACCCTCACAGGGTGATTTACAACATAAAACACAAAATGTCTAGATTTACATACAAATGGAAAAGATAACAAATTTTGTATTGTTGAAGTTTTGGGAGGTTTAGACAGGAGAAGGGCTTATGAGGCCAGAAAGGCTGTTTAAAGCTATACCATGGAAACAGCAGGATATTACTAACCCTTGTCCCGCCCCTCGACCAAAGGGAAGGAGCCAGGTATGTGTACAAAGGAACTATGATCATGTCCCTTGTCTGCTGGATGGAGAAGAGAGAGGGGTGCAAGAATCTGTGGAGAAGCTGCTCTATTGTACAAGGGGCAATATTTATACATTCCTTGCTCTGTCTATTTTTGCTTCTAGCCCCACCCACCAACAGCATGTGGCCCCCAGAAGGTTGTCTAGACAGCTAGGTGGCCCTCAGGTTGGAAAATGTTCCTCAACCCTGTTTTAACTGGTGATATTGGAGAATGAGCATGGGAGATCTTCTGGATGAAAAACCTGCATTCTGTGTTTCCATGTTGTCTGAACTTGGCGTGTTGGTGGCCATAACTGAGGAGGCAATAGCTTTCCAGAGCACTGCATGAATGGAAAAGCTGACTCTCATTTCTGTTACCTTTTCCTTTGCGTCCCAACCAATGATGATGTTGTCTCTGTGGCTACGTCCAGAGTGCTCCACATGCAAGCGGAGCATGGAGCGCTGAGGAAAAGGGACCGAGAGAGGATGGCAGATCTCCACTGAAATGGAAAACAAGCCACGTTTCCTATTAGACACGACACCCAGTGCTTGGAACAAACCAGTTGGATTTAAGGAAGTTCAAAAATCTCCGAACCGCACCTTAAAGCA